GACTTTTTTTGTGAAGAACCTACCAAATAATTGTTGCCCAATTGGACCAAATCATTTTTCTAAAATACTAGGTCATATATAATTCACAATTGACCAAATGTTTGGGTGTAAAAATTTTTGACCCACCTCTCTTGAAAAAGACAAATTTCCGCCGATTCAGTTGGAAGCGGGTCAAATTTGAACTGCGGCTGCCTCATAGTTTGCTATTTATTTTTCTCAAAAATCATTTCTTGGTACAAAAGTATCTATTTAATTAGAGAAACACCAAAAAAATCCAAGATTCAACCACTAGCTAGGAACGGTCATGCCCGCCGTTTCGACCGCATTTTGAAACGGGCATAACAAATTCAAAAAAAAATCAAAAAAATGCAAAACCTTCGCGTTGTGTCATCATATGTGACCAAGTTACCAGAAAAAATAATAAACTTGTAATACGGAAATTATTTTTAAAAAGTGTTCTCAAAAACGAGCTATCACGTGTGGAGATCATTGGCTTTCAAGCCAAATGATCAATCTTATGGCCACATCCATGGCATAGTTTGTTCAAAGGATCTCATATTGTGCACAGGGGTGCATTTTGGAATGGCAAACAATGTTGCCTAAGGAAGTTTTCATTTTCTTTGGACGAAAAAACCATTTTCCATTTTTCGAGTGCCCGAAAGGAGGTTTTTTGGTGAAGGACCTCCCAAATAATTTTTGCAAAATTGGACCAAATCATTTTTCTAAAATACTAGGCCATATTTAATGCACAATTGACAAAAACGTTGGGTGTCAAAAGATTTGATCCACCTCTGGTGAAAAAGAAAAATTCTCGCTCATTCAGTTGGAAGCGGGTCAAATTTGAACTGTAGCTACCTCATAGTTTGCTCTTCATTTTTTATAAAAATCATTTCGAGGTACATAAGTATCTATTTAATCAGAGAAACACGAAAAAATTCCAAGATTCAACCACTAGCTAGGAACGGTCATTCCCGCCGTTTTGATCTCATTTTGAAACGGGCATAAAAAATTCAAAACAAATCAAAAAATTGGGAAACCTTCGCATTGTGTCATTATATGTGGCCAAGTTCCTCGGAAAAATAACAAACTTGTAATACGGCAATTATTTTAAAAAAGTGTTCTCAGAAATGAGCTATCATGTGTGAAGATTCATGGCTTTCAAGCCAAATGATCAATCTTATGGCCACATTCTTGGCATAGTTTGTTCAAATGATCTCATATTATGCACAAGGGTGCATCTTGGAATTCCAAACAATGTTGCCTAAGGGGGTTTTCATTTTCTTTGCACGGAAAATACATTTTCCATTTTCCGAGTCCTCGAAATGAGGTTTTTTTGTGAAGGAACTACCAAATAATTGTTGCAAAATTGGACCAAATCATTTTTATAAAATACTAGGACATATTTAATGCACAATTGACAAAATGGTTGGGTGTAAATTTTTTTGATCCACCTCTCGTGAAAAAGACAAATTCCCGCCGATTCAGTTGGAAGCGGGTCAAATTTGAACAGCAGCTGCCTCATAGTTTGCTATTTATTTTTTCCAAAAATCATTTCTAGGTACATAAGTATCTATTTAATCAGAGAAACACCCAAAAAAATCCAATATTCAACCACTAGCTAGGAACGGTCAAGCCCGCCGTTTTGACCGCATTTTGAAACGGGCATAAAAAATTCAAAAAAAATCAAAAATTTGGAAAACCTTCGCATTGTGTCATTATATGTGAACAAGTTTCCAGGAAAAATAATAAATTGTAATACAATAATTATTTTAAAAAAGTGTTCTCAGAAATGAGCTACGAAGTGTGAAGATTCATGGCTTTCAAGCCAAATGATCAATCTTATGGCCACATTCATGGCATAGTTTGTTCAAATGATCTCATATTGTGCACAAGGGTGCATATTGGAATGGCAAACAATGTTTCCTAAGGAAGTTCTCATTTTTGTTGGACAAAAAAACCATTTTCCATTTTTCGAGTGCCCGAAAGGAGGTTTTTTTGTGAAGGAACTACCAAATAATTGTTGCAAAATTGGACCAAATCATTTTTATAAAATACTAGGCCATATTTAATGCACAATTGAGAAAATGGTTGGGTGTAAAAATTTTTGATCCACCTATCGTGAAAAAGACAAATTTCCGCCGATTCAGTTGGAAGCGGGTCAAATTTGAACTGCAGCTGCCTCATAGTTTGCTATTTATTTTTTCCAAAAATCATTTCTAGTTACATAAGGACCTATTTAATCATAAATACATGGTTTGGTGGCGATACATCGAGGTTTGGGTGGTGGTCGAGGGCCCCAACTCTAGAGCGCGTAAACTCGCATGCCCGCCGCGTGGTCACCGCGTGACCGTGGCGTTGCCATGTGTTCTGGGCGGCCTAGGCAAGTCTAGTGGGTTGGGCACTCCCCAGGTTGGTGCTAGGAAGAAAATTACAACATAAGATTCTCACGAGGAGACCAATCGATGCTCAAACATGAATTAGCAGCCAAGTGTTTGATTAGCGGTACGGGAAATGTACATGGCTAATGGGCGTGAGTTTTGGCTGAGGATGATCAGTTACTAAGAAGACCGTTTTCACAAATTTTCAGCTCAAAAGGAGGAGCCTAGGTGGTACTTGCTTTGCAAACTACCACACTGGACATAACTACGAATGTTGAAGCTCGGCTCAAAATAATGAATGGATTGAGCTGGCATTTGGTGGAGGATGGTTATTTGGGCATAGGAAAGGACTGTCGAAAATGGATGCTATTTGGACATGCCAAAGTGGTACTTCCTTCACAAACTGTTGTTCTGAACAGAATAGGAAAATGAATATTTTTGAATTATTTTTGGACTAGGCAAGGAAGGTTTTTACATATTTGACGAAGATATGACCCAAAGAATTTATGAGATTTGTTTGGGAATTTTGGCCATGACAGAAATATAGGTTGCTTCACAACCTAGGGCAAAAACTGCCACATGGACATGACACATAGGCAAAACTGATGAGATGGCGCCTAGTAATCGCAACCCACCACAATTTACAAGGCTATTACCATCTATATTGGTCGTTAACAACTAGAAATAAGGCAGCGGACTAGCGCTGTTTGCTTTATGACCATTTCGTGTAAGGAAATTATGACCTTTCTGACCAAAATGGTCGCAATGGTTTAGGGTTTGGAGCCCCCAGACAGCTTTTGACCAATTGGTCTAAAATGGTCATAAATTTATGACCAATTCTTTGAGGGTCACTGACATAAGGTCATAAGTTGACATATTTCTTGTAGTGTGTGCCGGTTGAGTCTTCACCTCCGTGATTTCTGTGCCTGCATCCATGTACCTAACGTGTGACACCCCGTGACACTTACATGCTCGCGGTACCACGCCCGTGTCTCTTCACAAACGTCACGATAGTGCATCCCGTGGCTTGCGTACCTGCATCCAGGTGCCTCTCTCACATGACACTTGCGATGACTCTTACATGCCCCATCCTGTCGCACAACCTTTGCTCTGCACACTTCCAAACCGTGACCCTATAACTATGTATTCGGAGCTCACCTCTGCTACTCCGTCCACGTGCCTCTGGATGGATGCTTGTGGTGCCTTCATTTCTGTAAAGACTTCAATTTCGTGCCTCCGACACCTACACTAACACACACCGGTGGCTCTACAGACTGCAAACCTGTGCCTCTCTAACTGCGTATTCCAACCCATGCCACTCTTGCCACTCCTCAAGAAGCCGCGCTTGTGTGCACAACTAAACTGTACTTAGCGTAAAAAGACTACTTTGTATTTACCTGTTTTTAGACTAAAAAGCAACATTACTGATTCAAAATCACAAGATTGCTGAATAAACATAGTACTTAGCAAGCCAGACAACCTGTTCAATCACATAAACAAACTACAAACTTCACATAAGCAAACTTGTTTAACCTGATACAGGTGACATTAGAAACTGCTTCGTCCTAACAGAACTAAACTACGAACCTGAAACAATAGAAACGACAAGCAAAAACACAAGCAACTCCATGACCAGTTTTCTATGTTTTCCTCATCACTAGTAGGCGTAGTAAGGATCATCATAATTCTTGTCTGCCTCTTTTGCACTCTCCAGTCCTTCTCTGATGTTTTCAATTCTCTTCCAAGACTCATAGGCGGCGTACGCATCTATCGCTGCATACTCAATGAGGTAATTTGGCAGTGGGCTGATCCCTCACAGTTTATGGTCTTCAACCCTGTCAATCTTATCCTTCATCTGTTTGTAGAATGGATGGATCACACTCCCTGCAACAGCAGCCAAAGAGTGGTACCTTTTTCTTCCCTTGAACGGAACTCTCCATTTGCGCTGGATGTCGATGTACTTGTCGGGTTGATCTCCAAACCAGAACTTCACAGCATCTCTTTGTCACCTTCAATACTGAAGCCGGCAAAGGTGTAGAACCTGTCCTCCTTCAGGAACGGGCGCAGGCTCTTGGGCCTGCAAGGGGCATGATACATTTAAGGTGGATCCATCAAGTATCCATCAAGTAAATACTTATATAGTACGTATAATTTGTGGACGAAATTTTTTCAGAAACTACTATGTAGAGTTCACAAACACAAGCACAAGCACAGCATGTCATTTTTATTTTTGGTAGTTACACTTGAATAAAAGACCTATGTACTCCTTACCCATGTTAACACATCAATTCAGGAAACTGAACTACACTAGAACATCAAATATAGAAACTACACTAGAACAGAAAGTGCACTAGAACATCAAATTCATAAATTAATCTAGTGCATCAAATACATAAACTGATCTGGTGAGTCAAGTTCAAAATATATCCTACTTTATCTACTTCAGAAACTTCACTGATACATCAATTCAATAAACAAATTTAATCAAATTTCACGGTGAAATGCTAACTAAACAGAAACATGGAGAGGTTGAAGCTGTAGGATGGTTCACCATTTAGTTGTCGCGGTGATGTGGTATAGCAGACAGAGTTCCTCCACACATAACTGCAGAACCGCTGCCCTCTACGGAGGTTCGTCTTCCCTGGTATACTCGACATCAACGCCGATAAACTGAGGGTACAAGCCGCAGACCCTCTTCAGGATCCTGTTGATCATCTTGTCGGCTTCGTCAGGATTGCTGGTGCATACAACATCCAGCTTTTCCTTGCCGTGGATGCCAACCTCCTTGAGGTGCACCTTGTAGTCGTGCTTTTGACCGGGGACATGAACGTTGTCAACCTCGGTGCTCTGGTCAGATGTCTCACCACGCGGACGCTTGGCAGATGGTTCATCCGCCATTATGCTCCTCCAGCAATGGAGGCCTTGACATAGAGTTTGTGAGAGTTACTAGTTGAGATGGAGCGGCAATAGTGTTTCTGTAATTGAGCGGCTATGGAAGCGCAGTTGCCCTTTTGTGCCAAGGTTTGGGTCGAGGAGGAGGCGGTTGGACGAGGCCTCGTCGTTGTAATGAGGGCAGTAGACATGCGCTCGCGGTTGCTGTGCGCCGGGGAAACTGCCGAGTGGCAGTGCTCGCGGTTGCCGGGAAAAAGCAACCATCAAATCGTCCAATTAGTCACGTAACAAATGTTCTTGCCTAAACCATTCAAGAACACACTGCACTGGCACACTTAGATAGAGTCCACTGCGTTCAGATACTAAGGACATACTATGTTGAACTCCTCGCACCTTTCCCGACGCACGCCGCTACTACTGAACGACCAATGCTCTCTGACTACTATTCGCACCGATGCCTCTACTACCACACTCCCCGACGCATCACTCTCACGTGCCCGTGGTGACACACGCTCATAACTCTAAAGACTTCACAACCGTGACTGTCTGAGTAAGTCTTCAGATGCATGCCCCTGCAACTACACATTTGTGCATCCCCAGAGTTGATACCAGTGCCTCTATAATTCCAACCGTGACGGTCTGAGTAAGTCTTCAGATGCATGCCCTTGCCACTACACATTTGTGCATCCACAGAGTTGATACCAGTGCCTCTATAATTCCAACGTCGGTGCCTGTAGAGCCTGGTGTTCCGTGTCTCACATGTGTATAAAGACGCTACGTCGAACAAAAAAAACAAAGCCAGGCGGCACGAATCTTGATGCTAAAATCAGACAGTCGAAGATAACAGACGGTTCCATCATTTCCAACTCTCCCACCTCCACTACTCTCTTGCTTCCTCTCTTCCATAGTAAATCTCGAAACATTCCGCACTCACAAAAGGTTTCCTCTTAGGTTCAGTACTTCAGTGCCTCCTGTACCTACATCCGTGCCTCCTGTGCCTTCAATGCCGTGCCTCAAGTGCCTACATCCACGTGCCTCGCGTGACACTTGCAGTGACTCCTACGGGGCCCGTCGTGCCACACCCACGTCACTTCACAAACGTGGTTCTCTAACCGGGTAGTCGGACCAATGCCTCTGCCGGCACACTTCTGTGCATCCAGAGAGTGCACAACCGTGACTGCACAAAACACACGTACGTGCCTGTTGTGGATTCACCAATTCTGCCTTCCGTAACTGCACCCACGTGCTTCAAGTGCCTAACGTAATAACATGCGCAGTGACTCTTACATGGCCCCAATGCCACACCCACGTAGCTCCCGAGACTTCGCAACCGTGCCTATTTAACCGAGCATTCTAACACATGCCTCTGCCACCACACTCTTGTACATCCTCAGTGTTGATACCCGTGCCTCCAAAAACAGCATATCCGTGCTTGTATTTCCTTCATTTCAGTGCCTCCTATGCTTACATCCACATGCCTCACGCGACTCTTGCCTGTCCCGTGGTCCTCTAACTGCCTATAGAACCCAACCTCCATGCCACCTATGCCTGAATGTACGTGCTTGTAGAACCTGCACTTCCGTGCGTCGTGTGCCTGCATCCACAAGCCTCTAGAGAGGCTCCACTTCATCACTACCACGTGACTTCACAACCGTGGTGCCTTGATTTCTGTGCCTTACGTCCTTGCACCCACGTCGCCTCACGCGACACTTGCTGAGACTCTTATGTGCTAAGTAGTGCGACATCCACGTCACTTCACAACCGTGGTTATCATTTCCAACTCTCCCACCTCCACTACTCTCTTGCTTCCTCTCTTCCACACTAAATCTCGAAACATTCCGCACTCACGAAAGGTCTCCTCTTAGGTTCAGTACTTCAGTGCCTCCTGTACCTACATCCGTGCCTCCTGTCCCTTCAATGTCGTGCCTCAAGTGCCTACATCCACGTGCCTCGCGTGACACTTGCAGTGACTCCTACGGGGCCCGTCGTGCCACACCCACGTCACTTCACAAACGTGGTTCTCTAACCGGGTAGTCGGACCAATGCCTCTGTCGGCACACTTCTGTGCATCCAGAGAGTGCACAACCGTGACTGCACAAAACACACGTACGTGCCTGTTGTGGATTCACCAATTCTGCCTTCCGTAACTGCACCCACGTGCCTCAAGTGGCTAACGTAATAACATGCGCAGTGACTCTTACATGGCCCCACTGCCACACCCGCGTAGCTCCCGAGACTTCGCGACCGTGCCTATTTAACCGAGCATTCTAACACATGCCTCTGCCACCACGCTCTTGTACATCCTCAGCGTTGATACCCGTGCCTCCAAAAGCAGCATATCCGTGCCTGTATTTCCTTCATTTCAGTGCCTCCTATGCTTACATCCACGTGCCTCACGCGACTCTTGCCTGTCCCGTGGTCCTCTAACTGCCTATAGAACCCACACTTCCGTGCCACCTGTGCCTGAATGTACGTGCCTGTAGAACCTGCACTTCCGTGTGTCGTGTGCCTGCATCCACATGCCTCTAGAGAGGCTCCACTTCATCACTACCACGTGACTTCACAACCGTGGTGCCTTGATTTCTGTGCCTTACGTCCTTGCACCCACGTCGCCTCACGCGACACTTGCTGAGACTCTTATGTGCCAAGTAGTGTGACACCCACGTCACTTCACAACCGTGGTTATCTAACCGAGTACTCGGACCCATGCCTTTGCCACCACACTTTTTGTGCATCCAAAGAATGCACGTCCCTGGCTGTGGTGCATTCATTTTTTGTGCCTTGCGTACCTGAAACCACGTGCACAACATGACACTTGCCGAGACTCTTACGTCCCCCGTAGTGCCACACCCACATGAGTTCACAAATATGGTTCTATAACCGAGTACTCGGACCCATGCCTCTGCCGCCACACTTTTGTGCATCCAGAGGTTGCACGTACGTGCCTATGGTGCCTTCATTTCTGTGCCTGCACGTACCTGCACCCACGTGCGCAACTTGACATGTGTGGCTCCTGATACTTCACAACCGTGCCTCTGTAACCAAGCGTCCTGACACATGCGTCTGCCACTGCATTATTTTGCATACGCAGGGTTGATACCCTGTGCCTCGACAAGCCGCAAGTCCGTGCCTCCGTTGCCTGGAATGTCGTGCCTCCTTACGTACCTGCACCCACGTCCGCAACGTGACACTTACGTGTCCCGTAGTGCCACACCCACGTGACTTCACGACCGTGGTTCTGTAACCGAGTAGTCAGACCCATGCCTCTGCTACCACACTTTTCTGCATCTACAGACTGCACACCCGTGACTTGAGAAAACAGACGTATGTGCCTGTTGTGGATTCACCTTTTCTCACTTTCGTGCCTGAACCCATGTGCCTCACGTGCCTAACACAACATACGCCGTGACTCTTAAATGGCCCCACTGCAACGCCCGCATTGCTCCTGAGACTTCACAACCATGCCTCTTTAACGGCGCTTCTAACGCATGCCTCTGCCACAGCACTATTGTACATCCTCAACGTTGATACCCGTGCCTCCAAAAGTAGCATGTTCGTGCCTGTATTGCCTCCATTTCCGTGCCTCCTATGCTTACATCCACATGCCTCACGCGACTGTTGCCTGTCCCGTGGTTCTCTACCTGCTTGTAGAACCTACACTGTCGTGCCTCCTGTGCCTGCATCTACGTGCCTGTAGAAAAAACGGATCTTGATGCTCAAACGGACGGTTGAAGATTAGAGACGGTTCGATGGTTTCCATCTCTCCCTCCCTCTTCTACTATTTTGCTTCCCCTTTCGCAAAGTAAATCTCAAAACCTTCATCACTCCCGCACACTCTCCTCCTTCCTTCTGCACACAAACACAAATTCAAAATCGAATTCGCGTCACCGAACAAACCGCCACCGCGTTCCCCAACAACCCTCCAATCCGACATACACACAGCCACACACTGCCCGCGAGAACACCAATAACCCCGCCGGCTACGGCGACCGACGGTGACAACTTCGACAGCGGCGGCAGAAATCGCAACGAAAAAAGAGCAACGACACAATAAGCGAATGGAACCGAAGAACACCGCACAACTAATTGAAGGTAATTATCATTCTATCCCACTCCATTCCACCGGGTAGATCGTAGTGATTTTTCAACTTCAAGGAGAAGCAACCCTAGCCACCGCTACCAAGGAGTTTTCGAATAACCTAAAATCAATTTGTCTAACAAATTGAACTGCCGGAGAGATGAGATTTAATAGAAATGCTATAGCTCTCCGCCCTGGAATTTTCGCCATACGATAAGTGCTCAAAGCTACTAAACCTAAAACGTCGCTAACTAGAATACGTCGGTAGATCCAAACCCCGCAAGCATCCTGAGAGGCCAAAACCTGAAAACCGTACGACATTTTCTACATGTTTGTCCCTTTAATGTAACCGTTTTTCAAATTAACTGTCTCTGGTCTGAAAAACCGTGAACACAGAATACCTGTACCATGTGCTTCTAGTGTAAAACAACCCGTGCCTCTCTATACATACAAGTTTGTTTTCACACCACGCAGCTTTTTTTCTGCGACACTCAACTCTGCTTCTAATACCTGCCCATTTTTTATGCAGCAATGAGAAATTCTCGCGAAGAAGCTAAAACCCAGCAAAATACTGACGAAGACCCTTCTGAAGAACATGCAATCCAGCAAGCTCATGTCAAAGGTTTGACCAAAAGAGTCCACTGCCTATCTGCAAAACCTGTATTGAGACATTAATAACTTAACTGCTATCCTTGACAACAATAACTTAACTATGTCTACAAATAAAACTACCTGCCACTTTGGACAAACATGTAGAAATATCATCTCCAGAGTGCATTTTTGTCTCAGAAAATGCTTCACCCTAACTTCACTTACCCAGCTCCACTCATAACCATAATAAATTATTATTTTCAATCCCCTTATTAGCTCAATCGGCAATAGTAGAAATAACCTTTCTTAACCCAAAAAAGAAAACTAAAAATCCCCT